ACTACGAGATTGGCATCTATGTTTCACCATTTTAATGTTGAACTAGCTAGATGAAACCGTAAGTTCTATTCTAATAGTTTATTTTCTCACAATTATCTCCTGTGGAACTCTATGCCAGATTCTTGCTTAGCTGCCGCCAACAATCTTCAAAAATTTAAATGCAACATCAGTCGCCATCTTATGACTTCCGACGGTATCCTCAAGGATGAAGAAGAGACTCGAGGCGGCGGAGATGTGGTTCTACAGAAAGATGCTGAGGATATCATGGACCGAGCATCTGAGCAACGATGTAGCCTTGGAGAGGATGCAAACAAGGAGGAAGCTTATGCTTAACATAAGGAAGAGGCAGATGAAATTTCTGGGATACGTGATGAGAAAGGAGGGCTTGGAGAATCTGATACTCACGGGACGAACAGAGGGAAAAAAAGAGAAGGGAAAACAGCGCATGACATACGTGACGGGCTTGGGCAGGTGGATGGCGGAGCGTGGTCTGGGAGAGTTGGTAGAAACACAAAACCTGTTGAGATCCACAAGAGATATGGGGAAGTGATCGTATACGTCCATGAAAGGACATGGCACATAAAAAGAAGAAACCTGTTTATTTTTTGTTCACTAAAGTCTCCTTTCATTCTCTTCTACCGACAGTAACACCCTTGAGTCTTAGTGACAGTACCCGCTTGTTTGGGGTGAAATGAGTCAAAAAAAAAAAAGAAAAGAAGAATGGATGTAGAATTAAGGAGACTTGTTGTTTTTTGACTCCCAGTGGAAGCTAGCAGTTTCCAATATGTGAAAAACTTACAGAGTGAGGAATTATAATAAAAAAGAAACTGAGGAAATTTGTTTAATCGATGAGAATAGTATTGACAGAATATGCACAAGAAATGAATAAAATAAACTTGCAAATCGTTTGTGACATTGATGCAATAATAAAAAAACAAAAAAAAAAACAAAGACCAAACAACTGAACAGCAAGAAATTCTATAAAGAGAGACGACAAAAGAGAGAACGGTGATAAATATCCATTAAAAGAAACAACAGTTATGCCGCAAATAGAGATGACAAACGCGGGAAAAACAAGAGACGTTAAAAATAGACACGCTAAAAGGAATAACAAGACAAGACTCAAAGAGAGAAAACAAACACAGAAAGAATTAGAAATTGTTTCTTTTTTTTTTTTACAATGTTGTTTGCTCTGTACAAGGGTCGATCGTCACTCGATGTTACAAATTAAGAGGCACAGCTTGTGCGGAATTGGGTGCAAGATAACGGTTAACCCCACTCTTAAATTAGTTATGGTTGCAGTGGTCCGGGAAGTAACCACTTGGCAGTCGATTCCACAAGGCAGTGTTTCGTGGGAAGAAGCTACTTGAATGGAACTTACATCTCACCAAAGAAATACGAAAGGAATGAGGGTTGTTCGCTACAATGGGCGTAAATTGCGGGCCTTAACCGTGACCATCCTGGGTATGACGATAAACTACATCCGGCAGCAAAGTCGGGAGGTTTTAGGGAGCGTAGAGCCACATCTTAATTGCTGTAGTTTCCTGTTGGTAGCAACTGTTAGGGTCCCAGATATGGGAAAATAGTGATCCCCCAAACTGAGGTAAAAAAAAAAAATGGCAGTATAGATTAAAAGAAATTATCAGCAACAACAGGGTTTTGTAAAAGAAAAAAATTACCAACAATAGATTTTTATAAAAAGAAAGAATTACTCAAGTTCCTAAGAAAATTTAACTTAAGCATTAAATGACCCATGAAGAATTGGTATGGCGTTAAACAAATAAACAAATCTTAGCCGTGAAGGTTAGGTCTGGTGGAACAAAGGAATGTTGTTCATCTGAACATTTTCCTTGGAAATAGCGACAGAGCAGCGAGAAGTTTACAACGTCTCGTCTACGAGAAGTGCGTTGGAGGGTGGAAAATATAATATAAAAAATGTCAAAAAGCGGGAACAGTGAAAATAGCCATAACGTATCGACAAATATTGGGCTAATAAGGAATGACGTCAAACGCCAGAAAATTGAGAAATGCCAGAAGGAATTACGCATCAAACAATGGAATACTAAGCAATGTGCAACCAAGAGTGACAAGAAATTCTGATGAAATCTACAAAGATAGACGAAATCTAGGGGCCAAAATGGAACTGCTTTCATTTAATCACCACAGAGAACCTTTTCTGCCTGCCAACAGTATAGCTAATGATAAACTTCAAGAAAGCAACAAGCTGCGCCTTCTTGGTCTCGCTTTTTTTTTTTTACTGACATGAAGTGGGATGACTATATTGAATCAGTTGCTAGGTCTGCTGCTAGGAAAGTTGGTTCACTGTGTCGTGCCAAAAGATTTTTCTTGTTAGAATCCATCTTGTACATTTATAAATCTACCATTCGTCCGTGCATTGAATACTGTTGCCATATCTGGTCTGATGCTTCTTCTGCACATCTCGAGATTCTTGAGAAAATCCAAAGAAGCATCTGTAATGTAATCGATCCAGATCCGGCATGTCGACTGGATGCATCCCTCTGTCTTTTCTACAAATATTTTCAAGGAAATTCTTCTGATGAGCTTTCCTCTTTGGTGCCTTGACTACATGGATTTAAGCGTTCTACTAGATTGGCAACTAGGTTTCACAGTTTTACTGTGTGAACTAACTATATACAACCACCATTTCTACTCTAATAGTTTCTTTTTTCGCACTTCTCACTTGTGGAACACCCTTCCGAATTCTAAATTCCCTACCACTTAAAATTTAAAAAAATTAAATGCAACGTCAATTGTCATCTGTCTTCAAGAAGCGTTTTCCTTTATTGTCCTTTTCTCACTTCTGTTCCCTAAAATCTTCTCATTCTCTTTCACACCCTATAACCTCTCTCCACCCTAGTGGCTTTATCACCTTGTTTGGAGTGAGATGATTAAAAAAAATGTTTATAGAAATCTAGTAAATGTTTGAGAAAAGCATCATCAGTAAAGATTGCTTCAAAGGGAGCTGATATATGGTGGCACAGTGACGAATGGCACAAAGAGAGATAAAAAAAACCCCGTGAACAGTACCGAAACTGCAGATGTAGGAAAAGTGAAGACTGTCACAAAAGTATCGAGGGGAATAATGTAGACTGCATCAATGTGTCGACGCCGAAAGAGGAACTGCGAGAAAAGTCAAAGAGGGAGGCGACAAAGGCGGCAACAATGGATGGGGACTCTTACGAAAGTGACGACGAATGCAGAAGGCCTAAAATGCAAAGGAAAAGGATAAAAAAGAAAAAAATCGCTAAGCAGAATTCAAATAACGGAAATCGTACGCAGAAAATCCTTGAAATGGGATATAGAATCAGTTATCATTGTAGCCATAAACAAATGCATCAAGATCAATTTTATCAAACAGGAAATAGATAAAACGCAGCAAAACCAGTAAATGACGTTTTATGATAGAAATCTGTGATATAAATGAACGCAGTGAGCTGACTGAAATGAAATTCAAGAACAGTGCTGATAGTGTAAAGCCAATGATAGACTGAGACTTTTGAAATAATAATAATTTGAATGACTTCAGGGAATAGATAAAAATCTAGAAGTTGAAGAAATGAATAATTTTTATCAGAGCGCGTTTAAAAAAACGATCCTGAAAGAATTAGAAATCAGAGGAAAAATTGAATCCATACAGAGAAGAATATTGGTGAAAATCTTCAAGAATATTAGGGAAAGTGTTCAAGAAATTCGACAACTTGTGGAAACTTGATTTACAGATACAATGGGGATCGAAACTCATAACGACATATTTGAGATACAATGAAAAATATGAATTTTTCTACTCTGTATTTATATGTACACATCTGTGTTGGAAAACAGCCAGTAACAAACAAAAGTCCGTCATTAAAAAAAAAGAACATTAGTCATAGAAGAAGAAGAAGAAGAAGAAGAAGAAGAAGAAGAAGAAGAAGAAGAGAGGCAAGAATGATTGAATGAAGGGAAATAATAAAGATATAGAGCAAATGTGCTGGAAATTCCAGCCCCTCGACAGCGCCTTCACGCTGAACTAAAAATAAGAGGATTGTGGGTAGTTGTGATGCATTTATGGAATTGGTCGTAGGGGACCCGGAAATTTTTGCCTTTATCCACAGGCACTCGTGTGAGACCCTATTCTTCCCACTATTCTTAAGTACTTTACTGTGAGTTGAAATCATACGAATGATAAATCTCTCGTATCAGATCTTGTTTCTTTGTTCAGCGGCATATCAACTCCATATGGGACATTTAATGTCGAAATTTAATTTTCTTGCGAGCATTAGTAATTTTCTTTACAAAAATGTATTGCTGGTAATTTTTTTGAATGCATTTGTGATATAAACAAATTTGTTGGTTTTAAAAGATTAAGAATTAACAAAACAGAAGATAACGAATGTCATTGCATTTAAAGTTTTGAAGATCAGAGTTGACTGGAAAGCAAGAAACTGGAAGAGAGTTCCTCAAGTGAGAAGTGCGATAGAAGAAACTGTTAGTATAGAACTTACGGTCACATCTCCAACAATTTCATCAGTAAATTTGATGAGACCTTACTGCCAATCTAGTACTGCGCTTAAATTCATAAAGTCTTGGTACCTTAAAGAAAAGTTCATTAGGGCAATTACCATGAAAGTATTTCTCGAAAAATCACAGGGAAGCTATGTTATGGCGGTGGGAAAGGTCTGAAGCCGAGATGCTAGGTCAGGACCAATAACATTGCAGATTCTTTCTTTGAATTTAATCAAGAATCTCAAATTATATAGCATATATTGTCTTTATCTTTGTTGTAGTTATCACAACTTCGTCTAACCTACAGGGATTAAATAAAGATTAAATAAGGATTAAATCAGTTTCGAATTCCATGTTGTTTATCCTGATCGATTTACACCTGATGATGGCCAGAGGGTACAACGGCCGAAACGTTTTGATAACAATAACAAATATGAGGACAGTAGTCCGGATGTAAATAGTGTAAATAATCCCAGGAATTCAGACAGAAATGTCACACTTTTCCTATTTTAATTTCGATGGAAATAAATAGATATACTATTTAATAAACAGAGCGTCTACTTAAATATGGGCATCCATTAAAAATAACGTTTAAGCAATAAGTTATATATATATGTGTGTGTGTATGTGTGTGTGCGCGCGTGCGTGTATGTGTCCATGTATGTGTGCGCGCGCGTGCATGTATGTGTCCATGTGTGTGTGTGTGTGTGTGTGTGTGTGTGTGTGCATATGAACGCATTGATATAGAAAACAACTCACATTGAAGCAGTATTTTTTTCAAGTTGTTAAATCCTATTTATACCATGGGGCTCAAAAGTTGTTTTTTGTTTAAATTAATTATAAAAGAAAGTTCTTTTGTGTATTTCTTTCTTTGTTTTACCAAAAACAAAAAAACAAAAAAAGGAAAGAAAGAAAGAAAGAAAAACTTGAAAAAAATTGTCCACATTGAATAAATCATTTGATTATGTCATTCCGTTCTTCCGTATAAACTTCAGCGCAAACGTTTGGAATGAACCGTTTTTATTGTGTATTCACCGACCCCATGATAATTTATGTCACCTTGCAGCTAACGCTGCATGTGGTTGAGATGACGTCATTTCAGGATGTTTCGTGCTCCAGTCGGTCTGCTCCGCTATGCTAGGGAAACACGAAAAGCGAGGACCATCTTTGAGGAACTACCAAGTAAACAGAGACACACCCACACCTACAGACATAAAGACACACACACGGACACACAAATATACTACAGCGCATCAGGTGGAATCGACATGATAGGCGAGGTAATGTCAAGTGATGGGAGGACCGGAAATTGTGGTGAACGAATCGAAAGATTCGTATTGTATTTTTGTTTTTTTTAAATTTTTTTTTTTTTTTTTTTTTAGCATTTTTGCTAATTTTAGCATCTGGGAAGCTAATGACTTTTAGGAAGCGTTAAATTCAAACCGCTAAATTCTTTCTGGCGAAGAAGTCTAATAAGATTGTATTTTATTTATTCGAAAGGACTAAGCAAAGTAATAAACAGACGAGATTAGAAAACGATCATGTTGAAAATCAGTGATAAAGAATAGGCATCCAATGAGATCAGATTTTGAAGGAAATCTAGAAAGAACGAAAGGTCAGAGAAAATGAGAACGTTTTCTTACTACTCTAAGTTTTTGTTTTCTCTAAAATGTGCGCTAAACGAGAAAGACTATAAATTTGACATTTAAAACAGAGAAAGACAATGACTATTTGACCTCTTTTTCTATTTTTTTTTTAATCGCTACAATTTTAATTCTCATTTTTAATATCCAGTTTTCAATTTCACAACCCCACTCCGGCTATTTTATTAATTTCCTCCATCTTTTCAGTCAATCTCTTTCTTGTCTTTTTATTTTCAGAAATTTTTCTTTAAGTTTGTAATGTTCTTTTGTTTTTGTTTTTCTGCTTTGTTTTTTACTCTTCTCTCGTCTTTCCTTTCAACTTGTCTGTCTGTTTGTCACTTTTTCGCTGTTTTTCGTGCCCCCACGCGACGTTTCTGCTTTCACGCACGCAGTAACTTCATCAATTTCAGTCTGTGACGATTTGCTGTCCAAGACGAATGACGACGGCATTTATCCTGTTTAAGATTTCATCCTACCTTGCTAAAAAATATTGAAAGAAAAAGACATTATACGGCCTGAAGTGTGTGTGTGTGGGGGGGGGTAGATATATACACGAATACATGCATACATATATATTGAGATAGACGCGAAAAAGGAAACACTTATAAATACTACGAAAAGAAAATGAAAGGGAAAAGTGTCAGTAGAAAGAAAGAAAGAAAGAAAGAAAGAATAAAGAAAGAAAGAAAGAAAAAAAAAGAAAAGAAAAGAAAAGAAAAGAAATTTTATGATATGAAATACAATGGGGAAAAAGAATACATGATGGCTGTCGACTCGTTAGTCGAGTAAGTCCATTACTGATAAGCTGACGAGCAGAGAATATAGTCGTGCTTGGCTTGCACAACACCACAAGGCTCACCTTAGAATCCCAGAGACAAGCAGATTCAAGGATATCCGGATGAACACTGAGACGAGTTTTACATCATAGTTTTCCTTCTCCTAAACAGGTTGCCAACCAAGGCTGAAAAGTCCAGTTTGCCCTGACACGCATACATGTACACATATATCGTAAGATGTAAGTAAAAGTAAGAACGCAGAAATAACACGAAAGGTATATAAAAAGAAGGAAAAGGAAGATTCAGAAGAAAGAAAGAAGGAAAGTGTTAATGGAAAAGATAGAAAGAAAGAAAGATTGAAAGATGCAAGGGAAAAGAAAGAAAACTGCAAAAGAAAGAAAAAAAGAAAGCAAGAAAGAAAGAAAGAAAGAAAGAAAGTTGTAACGGAAAAAAGAAAAAAAAGAAAGAATAATGTGAGAAAAAAGAGCAAATAATATAACAGAAAAGAAAGAAAGATTTAACGGAAAGAAAGAAAGAAAGAAAGAAAGAAAGAAAGAAAGAAAGAAAGAAAGAAAGAAAGAAAGTTGTAACGGAAAAGTTAGAAAGAAAGATTGAAAGATGCAACGGAAAAGAAAGAAAAATGGAAAAGAAAGAAAGAAAGAAAGAAAGAAAGAAAGAAAGAAAGAAAGAAAGAAAGAAAGAAAGAAAGATGTAACGGGAAAGAAAAAAACGAATAATGTAAGGAATAAGGAGAGGAACATGTAAAAAAAAAAAAAAAAAAGATGAATCGTTACTAAAGAAGTGAAAATGTGGGCGGGGCTTGTGTGAAATCGATGGTAAGAAGATAGCTTAAAAGGACTGAATAATAATCGGTTAAAAATAATCGATACTAAAATCTTACAGACGACAGAATGTACGCCATTAATCTTTGAGCGTTTAGTTTTTAAAGAAAACAAAAGCAAAATGCTTAACGTGGATCTATTAAGACTCTTCCATTGAAGAACTTTGATACCCTAATGAAGTCAGTCCTTCATCTCAAACAAGCAATTTCAATTTGATTTATGCATTTTTGCCAGTTTTTTCAAAGGCACTAAACCCTTTCAGCGAAGCTTAAGGCAGAGGCTGATCCGTAATTGAATTCATTGCTCATCGAAAGGAAACGAAAATTAGGTGATGACATTTGTCCAAATGTAAATAATATAAATAATAACTCAGGCACTTGAAGAAGGCCAGACGTCACAACAGCCGAAACGTCGTGATAATAGCAACAAAGATAAAGAATTTTTTTCGAATATAAATAATGTAACGAACAAGACGAGATATTCGTAGACATGGACAGCATAACGCGAACAGCCTACTCCTGTACATTGAATAAAGGTTTCAATTCGAAATTTCCTGAAAGTTATCCGGGCCGACAGACATCTGACGAAGGATGGAGAACACAACACCCGAAGCACTATGATAACTACAACAAAGATGAGGACCATAATCCGACTGTAAATAATGTAAGTATTGATAAATCCTCATCCCAGAAATTCAGACACCTGAAGAAGGCCCAGGATCACAACGACCGAAACGTTATGAAACTTATATCAAAGAAGAGGAAATTAATCCGAATATAAATAATATCCATAAGGTTAACGACTCATAGAAATTCAGAATTTTTTAAAATTATCCTTTGTTATTATTCGGGTCGATGGAACTCGGCAACCCAGAGATGGACAGGCCATCTAGTGGAAGGAAACCCTGATCAGAAAACATCCGCTGCCTCGCGGTCATAGCAAAAAAAAAAAAAAAAAAAAGCTACGGAAAATCTGGACAACCTTCCAGCAACTCGATATTTAGTCTCCCCCCCCCACGAGGGCATCATGTGGCACAAAGCCGGTTTAACGTGGGATCTCCGAGCCCGTGGGATCTCCGAGCCCGTGGGATCTCCGAGCCCGTGGGATCTCCGAGCCCGTGGGCTCAGCCAAAAATATGCCCATTGAATCCGTATAAACGGGTTCAGGGTTGGTTTACCTCCCCGAAAGAGAATCCGCCCTTCGGCGTAGACTATTTCGGGTTCCTCCCCGCCCGAAGGCAGAGAGTTCAACAGATCAGCCAGTCGACTGACTGACCAACTCTCAAGCAACTCCATATCGGCCCCAAATATAATGCCTTCTATTCTTGTCGGTACGGCCAAGAGAAAAGGAGTATGTAGATTGGGCAACGCACAACCTCTATATTCCTTCGCTTTTTTTAAAAAATTATCACACCGTTTCGGTCGCTGTGCCTTCTCTTCTTATCTACTGCGTTATTGCTCGCCTCGTTTCTCCTCAAGTTCATGTATATATTGCCCGGCCCAGGCATTGAATTCGCAATTACTATGTCACCAATTTCAGGAAGCAGTGCTTTAATCTACCCTCCTATTGTCCCGTGGGACAATCCTGACTTTGTTAACGGTTCCCATATCGTATTTATTTCCATGCTGGGCCGGCTAAGCAGATCCTCATAACCTAGAATATACACTGATTCGTCCAGACATCTCGTAGTTTTACTTTATTCCGCAGGATTTGAGGACTACCTTTCTCACCCTAAATATGATGAGCCATGCCGAAAGCCATAAACATGGCTGAAACGTTGTGATAATAATAACACATATGAAGATAACAGTCTGTATATAATTAATTGAAATACAGAAAATTCCCATCCTAGGAATTCGCAGAGAAACTTCAGTTTTTATTGTTTTGGCAAACCTCTTAAAAATTTTAAAGACGACTCTATATCCAGTTAAAGAATTTTTTCGCATTTTCATTAAAACATTTATAAAATCTTTTAAGACCTTTCACTTTTCCCTGGCTTTGCTTCTTAAATACAGGAATTAATTTAAAATGAGCTTTATCGCTAAATAGAAAAGACTGCAGAGCTTTTAATGAGTCTGAAGATAAAGTGTTCATTTCTTTTAAGGATATATTGTTGATTACTTCTAGTCTTTCAAGTTCACTAACTCGACATACTGGCAGCATTGTTAGCGCATGCGCAAAAGTAGCTGTTTGTGTATGGTCACAGTCAACGTTTGTAGAAACTATTTTATTTCTTGAATAGATGAACAGATAAATGCTACATTGTTTTCAGCGAGAACAAAACTGATTTCTTTTTTTCTTTTTAGTTTTATTGATGAATAATAATCGTTTTATTGGTGAAGTGGATGGATGCAACCGAAAGTTCTATTCTAATAGTTTCTTCTTTTTTCATACTTCTCAATTCTGGAACTAACTTCCGGTTTCTTGCTTCCCTGCCACCTACAATCTTCAAAAACTTAAATGCCACGTCAATCAACCTCTTCTGTATCCCCGAATCCTAATATTATATTTTGCTTTCTCCTCACTAAATTCTCATTCTATTTCCCCAGGCGTCTTAGTGATATTATCGCCTTGTTTGGGATGAAATGATTAATAATAATAATAATAATAATAATAATAATAATAATAATAAGCGAAATAATAAATCACATTCTCAAAAAATGTGGCTCATGGGAACATCAACAATTCCTGTTGTAGTTGGAGCCCTCAGATTGGTTGGAAAAGATTCCAATAGACTCATTGAAGGGATTCCTGGAAGCCCATGCCTTAAAAAAATACCAAAAAATTGTTCTCACAAGTACAGTCCACAACTTACGAACGGCTTTATCGATGCAAAATATGTTGTTTTTTTTTTTGTTTTTTTTTAATTGCTCAGTAGAAAATGTCATAATGCTATTTCTGACCTTAGGAAAGAAATGAGTACACATCAGAAATCAAAGGAAATAAAACAACAACAACAACAACAACAACAACAACAACAACGACGACAACAACAATAATAATAATAATAATAATAATAATAATAAATATCGATCATTTGAGCACTTGAAATATTTCCAGAGGCATTTTCAAAGTGATTGGGAGAATTAGAAAACTTAAAAATAAATGTGATGTGTCAGGTTAGCATTTTGTCTCATTTGGCAAGAAATCTCAAGAGATTTGAAAAGACCTGCCGTTACTTAGTTTCCATTTTGCCAAACACCTCTACTGTTGATACACGAGTAATAATGACAGAATAATGACTTTTTCCAAATGTATCGAAAGAATTTTGCTGTTCGCTTAATGAAGCAATGATTTGCTACTAATTCCATTGTAATTACTAAATCATCGTCTGCAGCCGGCAATATAAAAGATGTAACCAGATGAAATAAAAGCTACACGGCCATTTTCCAATCAGCGATTATATGTTCAAGCCAAAGAAATTTCGGAAATTGAAGGTTGCCCAAACCGGTAATAGTATATAAATGATAAGCTTAATAGTAGTCTCATATTCTCTAACAATCAGTAACCCACTTGCATCTTAGTGGCTTTATTGTCTTACTTGGGGTGAAATGATTAAAAAACAACAACAAAAACATATAAAATGGCTGTCATTCGGTGACAGCAAAAAATGGGACCAATTCAAATGTTTCAATACCGGTTGCTAGCTGTCAAAGTTATTCCGCACAGATTTTCATAAGACATGAACCCGAAAATTCTCTCATGCATTAGTAGAAATATACAGCAAAGTTCAATATACAATAATAAATATGAAATTACAACCAGTACTATCTTTATCTCAGAATTCAGAATATGCAAAGAGGGTAAGCTTTAGGCTTGTTTCCAATTTTGATCGATCTATATACGATCTAGCATTTTATTGCTTCAACGTCAGACTTTTAGCTCACCTTCTTCCGGAACTTAATGGAATTGCCAGTTAGAAAATAGAATTGGAAAATAGATTCCAAGTAATATTTTAAATCGCTGCCCGAATTGCACACTATTATCAAATCAGGATAAGCTTCAGGACACACAAGAAGTTTAAAAGGATTTATTTTATTACATTAGAACAAAACTGTTTCAATCAATGCAAGAATCATGTCGTTAAATAAAAATGCTTTTATAATCAACCAAAAGGTCATTGGGATCGTCATCCTCTCTCCCCTATTCCTTTTCTATCCCCCTGGTGGCGGTGACAGGAATGGCTGTGAAGGCCATTCAGCTAACCACCGCAGCCTCTGTTGCATGCAGGATCATCATCGCTGGACTTGTTGAAGGATGGAAGTGAGCGAGGTTAAAAAGAGTTTGACGAGGCCATTCACGAGAATTTGATTTCTGACTCTACGCGACGGAGAAGCCCACAGACTTGACCAGAAAGGCCTATTAGCGGCACAACGGGAATTGAGACAGGCGAGATATAACAAATCTGGTTGTATCGTGATGTCGGATGCTTGGTCTGTCAAGGTCCGCCTTGTTTACCTCACCCTGACTGGCGCTGCCCTCTTTTACCGGTTTGTTCGCTGAGATCGTGTAGATCCTAGCCTATTCCACCATTGGGGTCCAGTTTGGTCTCTCCTCTTCAGTCTTACCGTCATTAGTGGTCCTACAGGAGTTGAAACTCCAGACAGCTTCGCTCTTGGAATCATTGGGACACGGAAGTCCTCTACCATAACAAAGAACCACCATATATATTCTTGTCATGTCACCAGAAAGTACTATGTTGGTGAACGCAGTTGTTCTATTTGACGACGCATAAGACGCGTCCTTTTGAGGGAACAAACTCGTTCTTCATCTTTCATACGCAGATAAAATCCGTCGATAAGCCAATATTTAACAATATTTAAGAGGGATTCATTTCTGGAGCACTTTTATAAGCTGTTTTGAAAAACAAGAAAGACAAAGAAATTTGTATGGACGATCAAGATGCAAATGTTGTAAAACTTTGTCTAAAAAATTCGAACTAGAAATGAATATTAATAAGATGGCGATGTCAGTACTGTTCACGATTTGGACATTTGATCATTTAACGGATTTCATTACTTTTTAAATTTCTTGTCTGCTTCCATCTTAATTTTTTGAGTTTGTATGAAAGAATAAGAAGTCTAAAATATATATCTAAAGCGGGAAAGAGAACTAGTAGCATAAGTAGTATTGGAAGTAGTAATAGTAGTGTAAGTAGAAGTTGTAGAAGTAGAAGTAGAAGTAGTAGAAGTAAGTAAAATAATAATTAGTAGTAGTAGTATAAAGAGTACTAATAATGAAAGTAGAATTAGAAGTAGTAATAGTATGAGTAGTGGATAGCGGCTCGAATTGAGGAATCGGAGAGAAGAGTTCGAATTCCAGTCAAATGCATTACATTCACTTACGTTCTAACACCCTTGGAAAAGCTATGAATCGTCTTCTCCTCCGCCCCGCCTCAGCTATGAGTAAATAGCAGAACAGATCGGGTTCTATAGCCTTGGATGGCAACTGGTCTATCAGAAAGAAATGGCAACCTACTGCAGGAAAAAAAAATCTACCGTATCAATTATGTATCGCTTAGGCGATCGTGTGGCACATAACTGACTGAACACTAGGACTAGTAGTGCAAGTAGAATTATTATTATTAGTAATAGTAGAAGTAGTAGTAGTGAAGGTAGAATTAGGAGTAATAGTAGTAGTAGTTGTGGAAGTAGAAATAGAAGTAGTAATAGTAAGAGTAGTAGTATTAGTGTAAGTAGAATTAGTAAAAATAGTAGTAGTAGTAGTGGACGTATAATTAGAAGTATTAGTAGAATTAGAAGTAGTAGTATTAGTGGAAATTTAAAGTAGTAGTAGCAGTAGAAGTAGAAGTAGTGGAAGTAGAAGTATTAGTGGTAGTAGAAGTAAAGTAGTAGTAGTGACTATTGAATTAAAAGTATTATTAGTGGAGGTAGAATTTTAAAAAAATGTTAATATTGAAATAAAAGAAACAGCTTTATCATAGAAATAAATGACAAATATCAAAATAATGGAGATAAAAATATTTCGTGTTCCATTAGAATGCTAGATTAATCCTGACGCTAAAAAACTTAATTCTCATGTAAATGTGTTTTATTTGTAAATTGTAAAATCCTGAATAAAATAAAATCGAAATTTTTATGCTTTAGTATTTTCTATAGATTAATCATCTGCTTTCATTTAAAAACTTAAAATCTAGAATAGGCTCGTGGCTAAAGCAATTGGCTACTTTCAAACACCGACAGACGGCAGTAATCGTTCGCAGGTAAAACGCTAGAATGGAGGCTTTTCGAAATAATTGGCACTTGGAACTTTAAAGCAATACAGTTTTTTTTTTCTAAACGCGTCTTCTAGTTTCCATTGTACCATGAGAAAGTAAGCTTAATAAATATCAAAATTGTAAAGCTCTCATTCAGCTCATGTCATTGTCAAATGGATCTGGAATAATCAAAATGTTTAGAAGGAAACTTCTGTCAATATGAGAAAGAACCATAACAGTTAGTGGGCTACAGACATTCCCAGTTTAAAGAAATAGATTGTATAAATTTCAACTGACCCTAATACTGTTTTCTTAATGAATACCTAATGCTTTCTGCATGAAAACGGCCATTTTCATTGTTACTATTACCAATCTCGCAAGAAGATCTTACAAGGTTAAAATTCAAATTCATGGTTTTACCAAGACTCAAACATCGACTTCTAGTACTGATGGTAAATGTATAATTATCTCAATCATAAAATAAGTCACAACTGAATATTAAATAATATTGCACACACAATAATTCGGATAACGAAAGAATATAAACTGTATTACATGTTAAGCATCTGTAATTAAAAAAAATCCCTTAAGTTTTTAGGTCTGATATTGTAACTAATATTCTCTAAGTAGTATTCCTACTATCACGTGTCTATTATTAATTTTATATTTTCTTTCAAATTATTCAATTCAGAAAAATATTTGAGTTTCCTTTTTTAACTGAATGCTTCAATATCAGCATCAAAATTTGTGAATTGAAAGACAATATTCAATTTAAAACAATCTCGCATCTAGAATAGTAGTGATAGGTTACGGGTCAAAAATAATCGACTATGCTGTAGCTTTCGCTGAAAAAGGGTTCTTTAAAGAAATAAATACTTAAATCCTGAATACTGACAGACTCTTTTCGCAAAGAAGAATGAATGTGTTTTTGCGTTCGACGCAATAACAGAAATAATTAATTGCTAATGGCAGAAATACAAATTAGAAATTTCATAACTGAGAACAATAATCGAGCGATACGGCGACCGAATAGAAAAAAAAAAATGGAGGAATGAAAGAAAGGGAAAAAAAAATGAATTCAGGATGCAAAATATGAAAATGAATCACGCAATGGAGTGTGGCTGAAATTGCGCAGCGGAAGTGAAGTTAGTCAGAGATAAATATTTCGGGACACGAACAAACAAGTATTGATGACTTTAAGGTTTCCAGGAAACAGCATATCGGAAACACATCCAGACACACAGACGAGTGCTTATAAAATGATATATGACTGTATGAATATATACCGTTTATACTCAAGTATCGTGCCAGTTTCTTACTCAAAACATAATAGGTTGGATTATACACAGGTAATTCTTTTGAAGAGGTTAAAAATTATGTATTGTCGGTAATCGATTGCAGTATAGACAGGTAATTTTTTCTGCAAGAGTTAAAATTCATGCAAAGAAATTCAGGGCTCGCGCTATAGAAATATTTCATTTTGCCCGACACGCTGGTATTACAAATATAGGAGGTACACTGGTGTATTTCTTTTGAAATACGTGCAATGAACAATGAATTTCGGGAGTGTTAATCATCAACAGTCACCCATTTTGAAAAATCGCGAAGCGTGAAACAGTGTTATTAATAGGTACATAAAACAAAAGTTATATATATATATATATATATATATATATATATATATATATATATATATATATGTAAACTTTTTAAGTGAAATCACCCGCCGACGTCTGTGATTTTTATTGCAATTGTCTCATTGGCGTGTAAACTGTAGTTCATTGGGACTAAGTTCATAAAAAGTTCTAATGTTCATAATTTATTAGCTCAACTACTTTCGATTATCCCTCGTCATTGTCAAGAACGTTAATAATATATGTTTTCATATAATTCCCCAATTCACATAGGGTTTCTTTTTAGAAAGTACTAGACCAAACATAAACCCGTTGGGTTTCTTTTACAAGCAATTAATGCTATAAAATGATGAACTAACAATATTATCGATTTTATTATTAATTACACATTTTAATTTGTATTTAAAGACTACAAAAGAAGTTTTATTGTTTGGCTGTGCTTCATAATTAACACACTGCGCGAAAATTTAGAGCAACAGCATAAAACAGGTCTAGTCTTTTTTAAAATAATAAATATATTTTTTAATTGATTATTAGTAAATAAGAGGTAAAAAAAAATTTCCAGGCCAAAAACGAATGAAATGCAAAAACGCCATAATGCAAAAATACCCCGATTTAAAATATGAAAATAAATTATTTTACATTATCAATAAATATCTGTTTTACTTCATTACATTAAAAATTTCTTCCATGTTATTTACTTTGAATACAAAATTAATAATTAATACTAAAAACGGTAAAAGAAGGTTAAGTGTTCCACGGACTTTATAGTTAATACATTGCGTGAAAATTTGGAGTAATATCTTAAAACAAGCGTAGTCTTTAGGGAAAAGTATATGTTTATTATTCATACTTGTTTCTTCCACACATTTATTTCAAAATACGTAACGGCAGCAAAACAACGTGCATCTCTTTATTACAATCAAGTCATGTGACACATATAACTTCTTCATCTTTTATAAAAAATAAGTTGTAATGTAGTGAAGTGAATTGTATAAATATATGTTGTGTTATGTATATTTAAATTTAATAATAATCATAATACACCCTCCCCGGTCGTCTAAGGCTTCTAACTTCAGTGGCTGATCGATGAAGATCGCTTCAATGTCAGACCTGTCTTATTCCACGTTGTGATTTAAGTTTGATCATAAGGCAGCCAAGATCGAATCGTCGCAGGTATCTTCGTGCTGGGCGTGTCCAAGCAGAGCGAAGACGTACAGGGAAAAATAGCACTCGAATAAATTGAACAAAAGTAAATACTGCTTTTATATCAGTCCTTCGTACAATAATTGGTTTGTATCAGAATTTGCATGCAATTAATTATCAGCCCAACCTGCGTCTGAATCGGAAATGATATTATTGTTGACTTGGTAAAGTTTGGTTTGCTGATTTGTTAAAGGCTGGCACACGGCTGAAGTCGGTGGAGTTCTCTTCCAGGCATTGAAGTGGGGTGTATCACAACCGGGTGGCTGGGACGAACTCACTGTCGTCTCTGTCCTGTCTCGGTCGCTCTCTTTGTCTGACTAATTCGCTTTGCGCATTCATATTTATAGACATTCGCTCAAACTGGGGTGGGGAACGGCGCATAAGGGGATTCCAGTAAATTTCCTTTGTTGTCAGCTTACTTCATAATTCTGGGGAATTTCCTTCTTCCACTCTCTTTTATTATTGCCTCTCACTAAGTCTCCTCATTGAACGGAGGTGGCTTATTCACCCCTTCCTGGTATTTCAACTCAACTTTCAAATCAACTCCAAATTTGTTTTGAACGAAAATGAAGTTTTCGCTTTACAGCTTGCATTTTCAGCTGCGTAGAACACAAATCAATCATCATTTAAGTCCCAGCCATTTTCCATTGTTCAAAACCTCGACACACCAAATCCA